CACCGACTTCTCTGGGCTAAAGCTCATCTGAGATGGACTGACGCAAAGTGCAGCGGTCTGATGAATCCATCTTTCAAATTGTTTATGGAAACAACGGATGTCATGTTCTCCAGGTAAAAGAGGAAAAAAAAAAAACATCCAGACTGTTACCAGCATAAAGTTAAAAATTCAGCATCTGTCATGGTATGGGGTTGTGTTAGTGGGTAACATTCACAAAGCATTATTAATGCTGAACACATTTTGGAGGAGCATATGCATATTTGCAAATCATTGCTGTCTGTTTTAATTTACATTTTCCCCACTGTCCCAACTTTTTCGAAATTGGGTTTGTATAAGGAAAGGCTATTATTTGTATTATTATGTGTTGAACCTGAAAGGTTTTTAGTAAAGGTTTACTTTTGCACAATGCAAAACCTGCAACTAATAATAAGACCAAAACCTGAGACTCAACTCAGACTTACAAGTCAAAGATTCCACTTGTATCAATAAACCTACAGTTGATATTAAGGTTACACAGATTTATTGGTACTGGTGAGCATCCTGCTATGAAAACATTGATATTCAGTGGCTCATTTTACATTGTAATGAATGCTGCTTTAATGTGAGAATTGCTTGTGTGTGAGGACTTAATGGCTTCAAGCTTTCATGCTGCTAAACTATAATAATAAAACAAGCTGAACTGGTAAACCTGACAATAAAACGCCATTGTAGTTTAAACAGCAAAATGTAAAATGCATTGTAAGCCAATTATCAACATAACACAAAAAATTCTTTAGGTGAAGAGAACCAATGAAAAATAAGAAAAAATAACAGAAAACAACAAAATGCTAGGAATGCTGGGAAACTCCACCTCCCGGCATTACAATATGTGTATTATTTAAAAAGACAATTTAACATCTTTTCTACATTTCTGCATGATTCAATAGATGAGATGTAAACAAACAGAGTGGGAAATGCTCCATTTTAGAGAGACAAGTCAGAATTGTTCACATTGGTGGTGATAGGAACCAGACATCCAAAGGATTTAATGCCTGTAAAAGCTCAGTCACATGAATTTTTAGGAATGTTATCTGATGTTTGAGACATTATTTTACAAAAGTTTTAAAATCAGATTTTTGTTTGTAACTTTTTTCATTCATGTGGAGAGATACATGTGGGACACCGTAAGGCAAATAAACATACATGTTTGGATTTCCCACTATTTTGCCATCATCAAGAGTCAGAAGACGTGTAGGTTCACTGGTCTTTTTGGATAGTAACTAAAATGGCTATATTTGTGGCGTTGACGTTGCGACCCCTGGTTCCTATCACCACCACTGTAAAGTAATTTCTGAAGGCAAGTTGGCAAGTTTCTCTACAACGAACCATTTCACATCAAACAACTCTGAATGACTTTGTTTATGTTTTAATGATTGAATTACACAGATATTTCGAAAACTAGGGGTGCAACAATTATTTGACCTAGTCAACTAAAACCACTGACCAAATTAGTTGGCAATCAATATAATAGTCGATTAGTTGGTGATGTCATCACACATCTTTTGCGCACTAAAAAGGAATGTTTTGACATCATTGCTTACTGGAGAGTTAACAAACGAGCGGTGGCAGCCTCAAGAACAAAAAAGTGTGGGAGTGTTTCACGCTAAACTTCGAAAAAAAAGTCAGTTGAACTATTTGTAAGGCCGACTTCAGGTGGCACGAGAGCACATCCTCCATGTTGGATCATCTGAAGAGGCTCACTGGATGAAGAGGATCCATCTCAGTAAGTTAGCTGTGCTAGTTAGCTCATTAGCTAATGTTAGTGTTAAAAGCCATCTTCATGTTATGAGCTGAGATCATAAGACCTGTGATTGTAGAACTCAGTTGCAACAGAGTTTGTTACAGAGTTTGTTTAAACACTGTTTAACATGTTCAAAGATTTTAATACAGATTGATTTTTTTATTTACTTGATTAAAGGAAAACTGATTTAGATTTGTTATTTTATTGCTGCTCCTTTGCACATCCTTAGTTTTAAATTTTGACAGGAAAAAGATGTTTTATTCATATTAGGTATTAGCAGGAAAGTTCATTAAAACTGTTATTCATCTTTATTGTCTTTATTGTACGCAGCAAATGCATAAAAACAACCTCATTTTAAAAGCTACATAAGAATTTTTTTGGCAATTCAGGAACTCAATCTAAATAATCAGCTTTTAGTTTCGATAATCAATAGACATGTCGTTTGTTGCAGCCTTATTTGAAATGATTGTGATTTTCTGCTGTTTATTTGAGTCTGAAATTGAGAACCGACAATCATATTTGACCAGCCATAGCTGACAACTGACTTCCAGTTATATTGTCTGACATTATTTGAGAATTAGCTTCTTAAAATCGGTATTGTGACAATCAGACCCCAATAGCTACTACATCATATCCACTGAACTCCACCGAAAGAGTTTCTTTAGTCATATTTTAGGGCAGTCTGCCAAGGTGAGTACCTTTCCTGCTGGTACCATTAATATCAAGGATGTCTAGAAATGCAGAGCACGGGGCCTCTCTAGGGGAAAATGAGGTCGCGTACTGACCTATTCACTACGGCTAGATCAATTCCACTAGTCCTAATCTGTAGCCCTAATCCATCCCTCTAATCAACTCCACTGGTGCTGAGGGAGTCTTTATTTTGCTCTGTCCCAGTTTTCCCCACCTAACTCTACTCCCCGCAGTTTCTTTTTTCTGACCTGCTCTATTAGCCCTAATCTCTACACCTAAAACCGGGCTACCTGCTCAACAGCAAGGACTGTTTGTCTGCACTTTCAGATATTTTCTTTAACACTAACAAAAAATTCTATAATTAAAATGCATGCTAGCTCTTTTGTGACCTTCAGTGACTCTTGGTGTGAACACTTCTTCAGTTCTGCACTTTCTTTTAAACTTTTATGGCCACCTTCAATATAAATGCACCTATTACCGAGTGCTGATCACTCTGTACTGATAATTCACCTAATTATGACAATTTGGCTAGAAAAGAATGAAAGCAAATGGGAACCAGTTAGCATGACCTCATTTGCTGAACGCCACCAGACCTCCACTGTCTTTCATTTGTCATTATCGATGTTAGCACAGATGGGTCAAGCATTCCAGCAGCCCTTAGAAATGGCAGTTATTGCCAGTGATAACAAAAGCTTATTGTAGTTTTTAATTACTCTTAGCGCACTGAAAGTCTGAAATAGGTCCATCTTTTTGATATATATATATGAAAGCATTTACATGTTTTGGTATTCCAACCATGGTGGTGTTTTGCGTTTCAGTTCATTTGTTCACCTGTAATGTAATTAAAGTAGTGAATATTCATTTGAATACAGAAACTAGCAAAGGACTCAATTCACACAGCAAGGGCAGTTTATTTCACCACTTGGGTGCCAGTCTGTACCTACGCAATTCATTTTTATACAACCCCAATTCCAAAAAAGTTGGGATGCTGTGTAAAATATAAATAAAAGTAAATAAAAAGAGAATGCAATAATTTGCAAACTCTCATAGACCCATATTTTATTCACAATAAAACACAGAACACATATCAGATGTTGAAAGTGAGACACTTTACCATTTCATGAAAAATATTAACTCATTTAGATCTTGATGGCAGCAACACCTCAAAAAAGTTGGGACTATGTTCTATTGTGAATAAAATATTGGTCTATGAGATTTGCAAATCATTGCATTCTGTTTTTATTTACATTTATTTACATTTTACACAGTGTCCCAACTTTTTGGGAATTGGGGTTGAAATTACATCGGCAAATTTATGGCAAAACGGGGCTGTATGTTTTTGAGCAGGTAGCACTGGTGCTACAAAAGTTGTCTAAAATAATGTAGCACTAAGACTAAACTATATATGACTTATAAACGTATTAATTTAGTAGAAAAATTTCCCATTTTAACTGTGAAAAAAATGTACACTTTAATGTGCTGTTTCTCTGAGATTAATTAAGATTGCCCACAAGGAGGAATTTTTTTATGCACATTTTTATACATCACTGAGAGGGAGGAAACCCACACCAGCAGGAGCTCAATAACGTATGTATGCTTAGAGTCAAAGCAAAACAGATCATGACCTAAAGGTGTGACACAGTATTATTTAATATGTAATTTTCTCAACACTTTATTTGGATAGTCCACTTTAGATGCTTTGTAGATACTTAAATTACTTTCATGTCACATTCAACTAAATATCTACTAAACTGACCATACTTTTCTTTAACTCTTAACCTGGCTTGAATCCTAACCCCAACCTTAACCTCAACTCAAAACCTAAACCCAACCCTCACCTTGGTCCTAGCCCTAACCCTGGTCCAAATCTTAACCCTGACCCCAGCACTGTTTAGAAACAACTGAGTTTTAACAGATATGAAGATCTGTAATAGTCTATAGGGGACTATAGTGGACTATCCAAATAAAGTGAGACCATAATTTCTAATTTAGCTAGGCAATTCTAATAAGCTGAAGATAGCAAAAGACTGTAGGAATAGCAGGGGGTGCCTTAGCCTCTGAAACCAGAGACATCAATCCCAAATCATTGCTTTGTTTTTGACATTACAGCACCAAACTAAACAACTTTGGAGAGTTTTGTACCTTGCATTCAGATTCGTTCAAGAGAGTTCGAACTAACAGACGGACTACAACTACTATAAACACTAGAACTTGACCTGCATTGCAATTTGTAAGGCCATGCTTGAAGAGCTGGCTTGGGCAGCTGGGAAATGATGTTTGACATTGCACATGCCATGTTGTAAGAATAACTGACCACAACTTCCATGAGCATGACCACACTACGCATACTGCAACTGTGATCTTTTGGTATTCGCACAGGGTTCTTTTTCCCCCACATGCAAACAATATTGTTGTAAGCCCTGTACAGCCCTGCAAAACAACAGTAAAAGCTCTATACTTTACTATACTTTAAATGGTTTACAGTTGTGGGTTCTACCCCGTTTCCTTTAGGCTAGGGCTTTTGCCTTACCGGTCTTGTCAGAGTTACACAGCAGTGTCTCCTTTTCGGCTCTCAGTCCAGGGCTTGGGCCGTGCTTCATCCAGGTTGCGATAGTGAACTGGTCCGTAAGGTTCTGAGGCACCACTCGTTCTGGAATGTTGGCGGCCTGCCGTCCATCGAACCGGAAGATGAGGTCACTGTCCCGCCCACTGTCCGTCAGCAGGGAGGCTGTCCAATTGGTGGAAGCACTGGGGGCGGGGAGAAGATCGGTGCTGCCCGAAGCGGCACCTGCAGAAGAAACAGAAGCAAGTTTAGCTTATGCTATGATGAGAAAGTTATTAGGTATTAATATAGACCGAGTGAGATAAATGAAAGCTGTATGTGAATCAGTTTAAAGGACAAGGTATTTAAAAGCCTCTATTCTTCATGTTTTGTATTTTATTGCTGTCCCTAATGTCTACTTATAACACTTATTAGTGTTATAATATGTTATAATATATAACATGTAATGTTATAATTAATTAATTAATTAATTGTTTACATGGTCATTTACCAAAAATGGCCGAGCCATTTGCAATAAAATAATTAAAATAACTACTTTTGCCATTGTGCTTTAGAGAGTGATTCATGTAAATAAACTCTGTTCTGATTGGCTGTCTTATTGTGCTTTGTCTAAAAAGTAATATAGGCTGAGATATTTGGAACAAGAAGCTAAAGTTGGACTTAAATGTTCAGGAACAGCAGAAAACAAACAGCCAGCAGGTGCAGTGACATCACAACCATGACAAATTTAAAACGTCTTAATTTCCATATATGGATGATATCTAGGGAGCCCAAACTTTTTGTCTTTGGGAACCAAAGCGTAATATTTGTGGTGGGTTAAGTGCCAAAAAGATAATATATATATATATATATATATATATATATATATAATATATATATATATATATATACAAATAAAGAAAGCAGATTTGATTTAAAGTATTGTTTGAAGTCAAATTTTAAAAATATATATACATATTTTGGTCTGCTCAAAATGAGTTAAAATTTCCACAACTGATACAGTCACTACTGAAACATTTGGCAAAGTTTCAGTACTGTTATGATTGTTTTGTTGAAATATTTAATCATTTATTTTAATGAAAAACATTATTAAGGTATAGGGTCACTCAAAGCAAAGGAATTTAGTCAGAAGTTCAAGTCAATGAAAAGTCAAATGCGTTTTCAACTCTGACTTTGAAACAGTTTGGTAGAATGATCCTTATACAGTATAAAAATCTGTTATTTCATTGGCTGATGGGTGGGGTTAGAGTAAGTTTCTGGCGTGATCCCTGGGCCAAATTTGACATATGAGGAGGTTTGATTTGGCCTGTGGACCACACTTTGGGCACCCCTGCACCATATGGACTATATGGACTGGGTAGTGAAAGGTATATTTTGAAAATTTAACAATGTTTTAATCATCACTGCTGTCTAACTTTTTTTTAAAACTATCGTTAACTTTGTAGCAACTGAATTGCAGCACATAGTTAATGGCTCGCTGCTATCAAGTACTTTCCCAAAGCCACTAAAACAGCCATTAAGCTGCTCTTAAAACAGAGAACTCTGGATGCTTCTGTGTTAAACAACTACAGACCTGTCTCAAATCTTCCTTTTATAGCTAAGATCATTGTAAAAGTTGTTTTCAATTGACTCGGAAATTTTTTGAACTCAAGCAGTTATTTTGAGAAATTTCAAATCAGGTCTCCGACCTCACCACAGTACTGAAACCGCTCTTATAAACGTGTTAAATGATATACAGTTGAATACTGATTCCGGTTAAATATCAGTTCTGCTAGTTTTACTAGATATCAGTGCTGTATTTGACGCTGTAGATCATAGAATGCTGCTGGACAGGCTGGAAAATTGGGTAGGACTTTCTGGAGCAGTCCTTAATTGGCTCAGATCTTATGTAGAAGGCCAGAGTTACTTTGTTACCATTGGCAGTTATGAATTTGACAGGGTGGCTATGACATGCGGAGTCCCCCAGGGATCAGTTCTTGGGCCTCTTCTGTTCAATCTATATGTGCTGCCTTCGTGCCAAATGCTACAGAACAACATTGATTACTATCGTCCTGAAGATGATACACAGATACATCTGGCTCTCTCACCAGATGACTACAGCCCAATAGTCTCACTCTGTCAATGTTTGGAGCATATAATAATTTTCTTGAATTAAATAAGGACAAAACAGAGAATATTATATTTGGCAACAAAGAGACTTAGTGAACATCTCGATGGGCTCTAAAAGCCAAAGACCAAGTCTGATATCTTTGTGTTCTAATAGAAACAGCCTCCTATCATTTTAAAAATATAGCCAGAAACAAAAAATTGGTGTCCCAGCATGATCAAGAGAAGCTTATCCATGCTTTTCGACTCCCCCAAAAGACCACTAAACAGCTACGGCTCATTCAGAATGCTGCTGATAGAGTTTTAACCATGACTAAGAGAACAGAGCCCATTACTCCAGGTCTAAAATCTTTACACTGGCTTCCAGTTAGTTACAGAATAGAGTTTGTGCTGCTACTAGTCTATAAAATCACTTAATGGTTTCGACCCAGAATACATGTCTGATATGTTTAAAGAATATAAACCATGTAGATCTCTTAGATCCATGGACATGGGTCAGCTAATAGAGCCCAGAGCCCAGACTAAACATGGTGAAGCAGCATTTAGCTGTAATGCCACGTACAACTAGAAGAAAACTGCCAGAAGATCTTAGATGACCCCAAATGTAGCGATTTTTAAATCTAGGCTAGAAACATTTTTCTTTTCATCTGCCTATGATTGAGCTCTAAGACTTATATTTTATTCTCTTTTTATGTTTTTACTCTTAACACTTAAGTCCTTTATTTTAAATTCCCTTTTATATGTTTATTTTTTATATTTTTGCAAAAGATATGTGTTACCTAATTTTGCAAAAGCCATTCTGTGGTGCTACATCTCAGCTGTATTATGTAATATTAATTAATGCTTTTATTTTTCTGTGTTTGTGTAAAGCATTTTAATTTGGCACTATGTATGACAGGTGCTATGCAAATTGCCTTGCCTTTACATAGCACATTTAACCCTGCTTTCAAACTATTAGAACACCAAGATTTTGGACTTGGTCTTTGGATTTTAGAGCACATGAACCAAAATGTTCACTAAGTCTGTTTGATGCCAACTTATTTACATCAAATTAATTATTTATATGTAAACATTGACAAAGTGAGACTATTGAGCTGTAGTGATCTGGTAAAAAGAGCCAGATAAATCTGTGTATTATCTGCAAAATTATGGTAATCAATCTTGTTCTGTAGCATTTGGCACAAAGGCAGTGTATATAGATTGAACAGAAGAGGCCCGAGAACTGATCCCTGGGGAACTCCGCATGTCATAGCCACCCTGTCAGATTATAACTGCCAATGGTGACAAAGTAACTCCAACCTTCTAAATAAGACCTGAACCAATTAAGGACTGTCTTATTTAATATTAATTAACGCTTTGAACTGGCGCTGTGTATGAAAGGTGCTACACACAAACTCGCCTTGCCTTGCCTTTACATAATACATCTTTCCCTGCTTTCACACTGTTAGAACACCAAGATTTTGGACTTCGTCTTCGGTTTTTAGAGCCTGCGAATCAAGATGTTCAGCAATGTTTTGCCTCTTGTTGCCTGATTCACTGGCCACTCAATGCTTATGTGTTCCCACAAAAAATACTGGAGATATCGCTTGTCTATACATTTAATCCCTGCATAGTGCATCACTGTCTGTGGAGTCAGTAGGAGAAGAAAACAGTGTTTGGTTGTTGCAATCACTGCCGACTATTTGTACCAGCACTGCAACCATTTCTCCGTCTCTAGTAGCAACGAATATGTAAGTACCAAAAAAGGGGGAATATCATTTTATAGTGATGGAAATAAAGTACATACTACCCTGCTCAGTTCCTACTGGTAATCGGCACATCCCTTCACTCTTATTTGCATAACGTTAAACTTTGCTCAACCTTGACATGTGGGCCATTCTGCCAACTTTGTGCTGCCTCCAACTGCCAGCTATCATTGGAAATATATGACCACTGGCTGCTTTATAGTGTCGTGTCACTGCCGGCATGAAAGCAGGGTAATCATATTTCCAAAAAGCAATGCAAAGGAGGCTTTCTCCAATCTTGGGGCTGGTCTAATCAAGAATATTTCAACCTTCACCTCAACAAACAACCGAATATAAAATCCCCAGAAAGTAAAACATTCGAAACAATGAGAGCGCACCGAATAAGAGGTCTGCAAAACACCCCTAGCTTACTCTCAGTTCAGTCCGCCATGGCTTTAGCCTGCACTCCGCAACAGATGCCCTAAATACGCAGAGGCACATATCCATCTTTGATCAGGACCCTGCATCACTCTGCCTCTCCTTCGTGCTCAGTCATGCCTCTCGGCCTGCGCTTTATTCGAGGGTATGGGAGGATATTGAATCTTTTCTGTTTGGAGGTGACAGCAGGACGGCGAGCGCAGCGGGACAGAATGAGCGATGAGGCGCACCAGTGACACAGGAGTGTTCTCAATCTACAGCCCAACATCCCTCAGCCCACCCCCCCCACTCAGAGAGAGAGAGGGGGAAAGAATATAGTAGCAACATTGCATTTAAGCTATACAATATTTATTCACGTCGATCAATAGTGGACGATAAATACACCCGCCAGTCTTCAGGCGAGTGTCTGAGCTCTTTTCTGCCAGAATCCATTCCTTGAAATACCACTAAGGGACAGGTCAATGAGATTCCATCTCATACGCTGGCTTTGAGCATTTTCAGGGCAGCTTCAGCCTTAGCAATGACCCTTGTCTTCTTTTCATCAAAGTTTAGTATCGACCCAGTCTAGCCCTGAGCAACAGGGAAGACCGAAGCTGCACTGTTAACTCTTCCCTCCACTTGGAACTCGAGGAAGTGCAGCCGACTCGGAATGAACCCTTTAAAGGGCACTGTCTCGATTATTCTTAAATTCATCTTTAAAGACACTCACGTTTCATTTCAATATCTTCATCGTTACTTTTCAAAACTGCTGCAGCAACTTCAGCAGCTGTAAACTCTTTGCATGCCATTTCACATGCGTCTCTGTTGACTGAGTGAGAATGGTTTCTGACATGACGGATCAGAGACTAGATGAAGCTGAAGTTAGATTCATTTCCCGCTCCACTTTAAATGATGTAGTAGTTACGTTCAGACACCTGGGCAGACGTTACTTCAATGCATCGAGTCATTACAGGTAAGACATAAACAGACATTAAAACATGTTTCATGCCTACCGTGGCAGTATGCTTTAGCCTACAATGGTGGTTGGGTTTTTAAGATTGCTGTGTTGGTTTTCCTCATCTATGCATATCAGCTGTTTGATTAAACTTTCATCGTCTTCATTTGAGTCTACCTGCTGTAGTGGTAACCTGTGTTTTTGGCTTCAGTAATTATTAGGTTTTATGTTTGTACATCTTTAACTTTGTAGGTCTAACTTTTGTGTAAGTCTCAGTTGTCGGATTTTAACTTAGTTAAGTTGTCTTTTCTGAACAGAAGGTCTGAAAACAAGTCCCACAAAGTGGATCTTTGTGGATGAGGCATGCAGTTGTAGCATACACCATTACATACGCTCAGTCTGATACGCACCTCGAACTCTCAATAAAAAGATGTCCTGTTTAAAAAATTGAATTACAAACGAATTTTAAAAGAAATGCTTTTTTTTTTTACTTTAAGTACATGTAGAGCATGTACTTTTATAATTCTACTTGAGTGAAAAATCCAAGTCATACTTTACTTTTTACTACATTATTGGTACTTTTACTTCAGTAAGGGACTTCTGTACATCTTCTTCCTCTGGTGTTGGCGAAATTCCTGCCTGTGATAGCTGCTAACACAAGCCATTCCGGTTTAATCATAATCCAATCACTCCCAGATTCAAAGCTCTTCTTCTTCTGCCAGTGTTAAAGGTTTACATCAATCACCAAGTGGTACAAAACTCTACACCATCCTAATGAAGCAGAGTTTTTCTAGCTCTTAACTTTACTGGAATATAAGTTAAACTTTTCTAACTTTGGTTTACAATCAGTTAATGAGTTAAGTCACATTGTATGAATACCATGTCTATAGGAATATTGAAACATAAGCAGGTAAGGCATTATAAACATGGCTATAACTATTTATAAAATCAAAGCTTTACAAACATTAAAGCTATGTTTATTCTGTGTTATAAATGGTTAACATAATACATCGTAAGTAGTATCCATAACATGTTATACTGTTGGCGCCAAACTCAATCCCAGGTTGCATAATGCATTGTAACTAACAAACTGCCTAGTCATAAATACATGTTGAACCATGCTATGATTTCTATTAACATACAAATGATTAATCTGGATGAAGTAATAGCTTATATTCATGTTTAATGCACTGTAACATGTTTGCAAGTTTCAAATTATATGACAATTTCTATACTTGTTACTATAGGTATAGATTATTATTGATGGACAGGTGATATTATAAGCTTACAATAGGAGGTTGCAAATTGTTTTGTGAGCTCTAAGTAAAGTGAGGCACATTTTTTAGACTAAAAACATTAAAGAAGTTACAGCCACAGCCACAGTGGTAAGTAGTAAAGCTTATACTTCTTTAGGTTTACATTATATCCTGTTGTATTGCTGCTGATAACATGTTCTGAACACTACACATTTAAAAACGTTGGTTCCTCAAGGGTTTTGTAGTAAAGAGTGGTATTATATAGAACCATGAACACTCAAAGAACCCCTTGCATGATTAAAGGGTTCTTTGCATCATGAAAGAGTTCTTCAGATTGATGAAGACCATGCTGTAAAAAGGTCCTAGCACCAAAAAGGGTTCTTCTATTGCAACAAGACAATTTATAACAATTTATACTTGTCATTATGGGTATAGATTATTATTGATAGACATGTTATTATAACCTCATTATGACAGGTTGATAATTGTACTTGTGAGCTCTAAGTAAATCAGGCATATCCTGGAGACCTCCTTTCTCACAGAGTCTGTAGCTTACTGCACCTGCTCCAGCCAATTAACATCTTACGAAGACCCTGATTGGCTGGATCAGATGATTTAGTGTACATTATATTGCCACTTACAATGATGATCACTACCTATGTTAAACATTCATAACGCATAATAGCTATGGCTGTAAAGTGTAATGCATTTTAGCCACTTATGAAAGCATTATAAGGTGTTATGAATGTGTTCATAGTTTCTTACACACGGTATTGTTACCAAATTTTGCAATCAAGCCAAAAGCCCTTTCAAGAACCAGTTTCCCTTTATGCATGGATCCCACCACCGCTGTACACTGTTGATCTAACAGAATTAGCAAACGTGCCTTTGAAACGAGGAGGTGGAGCGCCTCTCCAAACAAACGCCGCCTGCTTCTATTTCCCACCATTTTCATGCTTCTACAAATTGATGTTGCATTAAAAACAATTATAATTAGTTTTATTGCATATTAGATAATGATTATAGGGCTTTGGAGGAAAAAAAAAAGCCTCTGGCTTGCAAGGCGGGCATGCAAAAGACGGCAGCGAAGACTTTTTTGCATTTAGATGAGCGGATCAAGGAAGCTTTTGGCGGGCCATAATTCAAGGCGCTTAAAGACTCGGCCCAGGCTCAACCAATAAACACTTAGTGCCACATATTGCATATTTAGAAGCTGGAGCCTCAGACGTCTCCAACGATCCACATGGGAGAGGTTGAGCGGTTGGGGGGCGGGGGTGGAAATGAGAGATGCTGGGGGGGAAAAAAAGGCTGCTTAATGCCTGCCAACCTCGGACATTATTCAGGCCCTTAACTCATCCCGCTTTCATTTATCTCCCATAACAATGATTTATACGATATGAAAAGCTCTGACTTCATATCGCCTCAATCTCAAGGACTCTTTCATTAAACTGACAGGGGTTATCCAGAGGGCCAGACTGTGGGGAACAGGAAATCAGAGGCTTTAGAGTTCCAATGTGGAGAGAAGAAGGGTTGCCTGAAAGGGCGCGACCATGAAATTACATGGAAAGTATAGAAGAGGACTGAGAACATAAGACTGCTTTTACCAGCACTTCTCAAGTGTTTGATTGTAGATGGTGGAGCATTAGGAGCACTTATATAAAACAAATCTAGAACCCATCATCTTTAATCTACTGTTGTGTATGCTCGGTTACCACAGACAGTAATTTCAATTTGTTCCTATTTGTGTAATTACAGGATGGTTTTCACATCTAAACATATCTAAAATGTCAGAAGTGCTTTATGAATTTAAGTAAATAAATTAGGGCTTTCAAAGTGAATGTGTTAAAAACATGTTAATGTTATGTTATTATATATGTTAATGACGTGTTGATGTGCTAAATAATTAATGGCACGATGTTTTTTTAGCACTCAAAACTGAACCCGATCCTGAGTTCAGGTCAATGAAATTTTGTCAGGTTTGGATTGAGTCTGGACTCAAAACTTGATGTGGTTTGGGTCGTGTTCAGACAGAAATTTGTTGTGCTTGGGTCAGTTTTGGACCCAAAACTTGATAGTGTGGTTTGGGTCTATCATGTTCGGACAGACTTTTGATGTACAAGGGTCAGTTTCGGACTTAAAACTTTATGATGTGGTTTGGGTCGGTCGTGTTCAGACAGAAATTTGTTGTACTGTGGTAAGTTTTAGGCTCAAAACTTGATAGTGTGGTTAGGGTCAGATGGGTTTGGACAGACTTTTGATATACTTGGGTCAGTTTCAGACTCAAAACATGACATGGTTCAGGTTGCTTTTGGTCTGGACAGAATTTTGTTAGGCTTGGGTCGTGTTCAGACTCAAAACATGGTGATATTGTTCAGGTTGGGTCTGGTTCAGGCAGAAGTTTGACGAGCTCAGCTCGGGTCTGGCCCAAATCTTCATGTGGTTTGAGTCAGGTTCAGTCATAATTTTGTTAGGCTCGGGACAGGTTCACACTCAAAACGTGATGTGGTTCAGGTTGGTCAGGTTTGGACAGAATTTGGTTGTACTTGGGTTTTGGACTCAAAACTTGATGTGGTTCAGATCAGCTCCAAAAAGAATTTTCTTGTACATGAGAAAGTTTAGGAGATGATGATATTGGTTGGGTTGTTCAGCTCTGAGCAGAATTTTGTTGTACATGGGTTGAGTTTGGACTCAAAACATGATAATGTGGTTTGTGTCATTTAAAGTTCAGACAGAATTTTGTTGGGCTCGGATCAGTTCAGACTCAAAATCTGATGATGTTGTTTGGGTCACATCAGATTGAGAAGGCATTTTGTCAAGCTCAGGTCAGGTTCAGACTTAACATTTGATGTGGTTTGGGTCGGTCAGGTTCAGACAGAATTTTGTTGGGTTTGGACAGATAATTCTCAGGCTATATTTAGGTTCAGGCCAAATTTTCAGACATTAAAGCTCTTGTTTAAAAACATTCTTTAAATAACGTTTAATATCATGCCTTTAATTCCTTCAGCAGACTACAATGGCGAGTGCTCAGAGCATGGCTAAGTGACATCAAGTCCTGACTTCACTATCTTCTTCATTTTACTTTATCCTACCCTGTTTGCTGCACACACGGCCTTCTGGTACCACATGCAGTTTCCACAGTCCCTGCAGACTCACCACAGAGTTTCTGCAGGGATTTCTCTGAGTACGTCTCTCGGTCACAGCCTTTCCCAATGTGGCTGGTCTGCAGCTCCACCATAGCCCGCACCGACGACAGTGGGCCATCACATGTCTCCAGGTGCATCTTGGGAAACAGCTGCTTGCTGCCTGTCCCAGGCTCATAGTCGACTCGCTTATTCCAACCTGCATGGGGAGAAAAAAACAGAAGTGTCATAAAGCTTATTAATGATATGAGTTTGAGCATACTAGGCCCATTTCAAATGAATCTATGGGCACCTGCTTTTGAGGGAAAGTGCTAAAATGTACCAGTACCAAATATTAGCCAGCTATAATTATTTGTTCATAGGTATCTTCAATGATATAGGCATGCTACATTTCTCGTTTTTACATCGTTAAAGTGTTGTTACAAATAAGTGTTCAGTAGGCGGAGCTTATTTCTCCCACATTTCTATTATGTCCTACAGCACTCACTCCACCATGCATCATGGATTTTTCTACTGCAGATCCTCGAGGATCGAGTTGAAAATGTTCAACCTCAGTGAGAAAATTCTGCTCATTGTGTGGCACTTTTCACAACATAACCAATCAAAAAAGAGGGTGGATAAATCAAACTGGAGAGTGAAGGTTGGGGCTGGATAGTAGGACAATTTTGCTCGCGTTTGCAATTTAAAAAGAATCTACTCAAAGATAAACATTATTTCACTGGCACATGTACCATCCTCTACACTATCACTGAGGTTTGCTAAAAAACTTTCAAGACAGATGATGAGCTCCCTTCATCACTATAGCTGGGTGAGTATTTCACCTTAATGTAAAAATATAATGTTGTTAGTTGTGGCGTTTAAGGTACTTGCTAACATTGCTAATGTTCACATGGGTTGAGTAGGAAGAATGAAGCCTGGTGGACGTCTTCTCCCTGTCTCCCTCCTCCAAAAAGAAGCAAAATAAGTGCTAGTTTCTTTAGACTAATCCATTTAGGGATGTGTGATGTGGAACACACAGATCTCCTCTGCTCCAACTCCACTTTGCAAACACTGTCGCAGGCGGATTCCTTGCGGTTCTTTCGCCATACCTTTGAGATAACAAGCTATTATTTTGTCAAAATCTCTAGAAAATTAGCCATTATTTTGACATTATCAGTCAAAATTTGGAAAAACAAATGGTATCTTTCATCATGCTGCTGCCATGAACAGTGAGGGGAAAAAAAAACAGGTGATATTTTTCTCCTCTACCTGGCGAGAATGGCCTTTCAAATGAATGCACACTTCTGCATTGTGGCATGGCTTGTTCCAGCATGAATAAATAATGCTGCAAAATGTGAGGCATTTCACTGATCTCAATTACAGGAGAGAGGTTTGTTTTACAGGAGGTTCATTAAATTACATGAAAAATGGAACTTGGTAATCCCACAGTCACACAGTTATTTCCACTGGAAGTCAAATTTTCATTTGAATAAACTGTGGGGGAACAAACGCATTTGCTTGCTCCCCTTCCAATTTCTAATAAAAGTGGGGGTGCATGAACCCCACCTGCCCCGATGCTCATTGCCTAGGATGCAGACTAACATTAAGGCCTTTCTGCTTTTGTATGTTTGTGTTTTGCATGACATTTGACAGTAACTTGGGACCAGAGATGTTCATGCAGCCGTGAATAAAGCCTCAATTTTCTGGGGTGCAAATCAAACCTTGAGTCTTTAGTACAGAATTTTAGTTTAGTCTCATTATTAACTCCAGGACTAAGAACTTCTCAGGTTCTGGGCTTCAAATAACAAGGTTTTCATTACAGAAAAGCCTTCAGCCTGAAGAAGTGAAGTGCTTCATGTATGTAGTTGGTAAAGCAAGTATGCCTGACAGCTAGCTTGGTCCCACTTTGTACTGAGTCTCTAATAACTGTGTAGTTACATATGAACAACATATGCAACAACAATGTAACTACTAATGATTTAGTCACTGTTACAGATGGATTAAATAAGTACACCATATGTAATTACATGTGTATCAACTTCAGTTTTGCCTCATGTAATTGCATAAGTGCATGTAAGTAGTTGTAACAGCCTATTCTCTTTTATGTAATTACACAAGGGTAATAACCAATGTAATTACATTTATAATCAGACTGGAACAGCATTGTTTTCAGAATTTTTTTTTGTTATTTCCCCAGCAGTAAAAGGAAGTGTGTAATGACTTACATTAAGACATTACTTACACTGTATCTGCCAGCTTTCCTAACATTTAGCTAGCATTTATGTTGCTAGTGCTGTGGAACTAACCAGTTTCAACTTTAAACCATTCTGTAATGTGACAGTACAGCAGACGTCCCCTTACCTTAAAACGTAACTTATGACATTAATTAAATGTGTTGCATTAAACCCAAAGCAACATCTATATTACCACCATTATTACACAGTACCTACATAATAACTACACAGAAACTTATTTTCAAGTGTAACTTGAACACTACACTACAGGAAACACAGGACTTCCTGTGTAGTTGTTATATAAGTACAGAACAATATTAATGTGATGTGAGTAGGTCACCTTGTTACAACACAGTTATTCCACAGTAATTATATAAATCAAATGTAATCTTATGTAAAACATACTTCCTTTAACTGCTGGAAGAGATTTTTGATCTGCAATGTATCAAACAGATACACTTGTATAATTACATGAGGCAAAACTGAAGTTGATACACGTTTAATTACACAGGTTGTACTTCTGTAATCCATCTGTAACACTGGCTAAATCATCAGTAGTTACAGTGTTGTTGCATGTGTTATTTAAGTGTCACTCCACAGTTATTAGAGACACCTAATATAAAGTGGGACTGCTAGCTTAATAGCAAATCTAGTAGAAGTTTTAGTACATTTAAGTGAGTGTGATGTGTAACTTACTAAAACTTACAAAGGGCTACATGCATTTATTGCATGTAGCCCTTTGGACAGAACAAAGGGCTACATGCAGTAAATGCAGTGCTGGCTAGCATGCATAGCAAGTATGCTAACCAGCACAATAGCATTTACTGCATGTAGCCCTTTGTTCTGTCCATCAGACTGAAGTTTTTCCTATAATGATAGATTCATTATTTGGAGCATCTAAGTATCTAAGCTGCTGCAAGCTGCAGAAGAACGACAATGCACTACTAAAACTGCAAACTAACGTTTAAGGTTGGAAAAGAAAGGTCGGTAACATTTTCTATGAATGTTGCATTTGTAAGCATCTATAAACACATTTATAACATGTTATAATGTATTCGTACGGCATTATAAACATGGTTATAAATATTTATAAAAAAGAATTACACTGAATTACACTTTATAGCCATGTTTATTATACATTATGAATTGTTAATATAATGCATTATAAGTAGTGTTGATAACATGTTATAATGTCAGTGCCAAAGAAGTCCCAGCTTGGAGAGCATAAAGTAAAGACAAATACTAAGCTAACGGTGGTGTACATTGACTTTCCCACATTGGGTAAAGCACTGAGTTCAGCACTAGTTTAAACTCTGACATTTGAAGCCTGTAATGTGCTTTATTGTGTATGTTTTAGTGTTTCAGTAAATCCTTCAGTAAATACTTCAACTTGAAGCCTCACTCTTAACACTGGAGGAGGCTTTAGTACAGTACGCTTCACTTTACTTAGAGCGGACAAATACGACTTATGAGCTCTTATAATTTGTTATGATCAGTACTTATAATGTATTATGTTAACAATTCATAATGCATAATAAACATGGCTATAACGTATAATGCATTTTTATAAATATTTATAGCCATGTTTATAATGTCTTATGAATGCATTATAACATGTTATGAATATGTTTACAGATGCTTACAAAGGTGACATTCATAGAAAGTGTTACCGAAAGGTCTTATTCATTTATCGCTTTAAGATTGGCAGTCTTAGTCTTAGCATTAAGGATGGTATTCTCACTCAGTCTCTGACTTAACTTACTGGCAACTTGACTGGTGAGTGAATTAACAGGTGACTTGAGTTTCAGATTCTGGTTTCTTTTAAACAATCAAAACAGTCAAAATCTCACACCATTATTTCGACTACACCACTCAAAATCTGGAGAAACAAATCTTTCATCATGCTGCTGCCATTAACGGAGCGGGAAAAAAAACAGGCGATATTTTTCTCCTCTACCTGCCGAGAATGGCCTTTCAAATGAACGTACATTTCTGCATTGTGGCACGGCTTGTTCCAGCATGAATAAATAACACTGCAAAATGTGAGGCTTTTCACTGATCTCAATTACAGGTGAGAGGGTTGTTTTACAGGAGGTTCATTAAATTACGTGAAAAATGGAACTTGGTAATCCGTTGGTAGCACAGTTATTTCCACTAGAAGTTAAATTTTCATTCAAATAAAAGGTGTCATTGTGATGCGCCTACCTCAGCCATTAAATGCAACAGAAAATGCAACATTAAGGCACTTAATTGGCTGGGGTGGAGTCTACCACCACCAATATATATATATATTAAAAGAATCATAATTCTATATATATCACCAATAAATATGTGGATGAAAATGTATCTAAAAATTTGTGTGGTACTTTAATGAAGGAATGAAACTATCAATATTAGCAGGCTAGAGTTAGTCAGGGGGCCCTAGGCAAAATCAGGAGTGGAACACCCCCCCCAACCCCCCCCGCCCCCCGCCTTCAACCACAATTCTTTGTATTCCCTCGGTTTTCCATTTGTTTCACTGCTCCCTGCTGTTTTTCATTTCATTTACTTTATCTGGCAGGGACGGTGCTCTTTAATTAACAGAAAAATACTGTAAATGCACCATCTGTTGTCCCAGGCCAGTTCTTAATATGGCAACCTAAAGTTATAATCAAATTATTTATCACAAATAACACAAACAAGTAATACATACAGATTTATACTCAAATCAGAACAAAGCAAACAATGCAAAACAAACAAACCAAAAAAACAAAAAACAAAACAGGGGGCAGCAGAAAGGTCAGTAGGCAGCTAGTATCCTAATGTTCACATATATGATTATTAATAAGCCAAATCTTCAGCTGACCAATAAGAGAAAGGTAAGTATTGCTTTTTCTAATATGGACTGGTAGTAAGTTCCATTCTTTATATGTAGTTACAGAGAACGCTGACTGACTAAAAGCACTTCTTTGGAACGATACAATCCCCTCTTGTGGCATCTCTGGTA